AGGCATCTACAAACTGATCCCTCAGCAACAACTTGAGGAGATTGGGTGGTGCAGTTGGGTAGGCCTTGTGTGCCATACTTTCCAAATCCTGTGCCAGTTCTTGCAGTTTCTCCTCTTTAGCACGGACTAGTCCTAAACCAAGCCCTGTAGAATTTGGACTGATTTTGAGTTCCATACCAGAGTTCTAGAGCAGCTACTAGTGCTCTATAGTTGTGCCTGTCATCTGCTAACAACTGTCCATGTATTTCCAGTGGTTGTCCCTTCAGGCTCGTTGCCAAGTACACTGCTTTCTGCTCCTCTGTCCATCCATTCATTTCTGCCAGGAGCTGAAATTGTACTTTATATGCTTCCCATGGTGCCTTTCCATCAAATTCCTGTGGCTTTCTTTGTACTAGATCACCCCTCTTGCTGACACTCATGTCTGGAATGTGACTTCTGGTAGGACTGAAGATGTCTGCATTAGGGTTTAGATGCAGGGTCTGGAAGGGGCTTTTTGTTGTTTGGAGCTGATTAGGCCCATGGCTAGTATATCCTCCCTGTGTAAAAGACAGTAAATTGTCCTTTAATGTATTTAATTCACTTTGAAATTTACTAATCTTTTCCCTTTGTGTATGCTGGCTTTCTCTCAACTGTTGGAGATTTTCTTCTTGTTTATTTTCTTTCTCCTCCAACCACTGCTGTAGTCTCTCGTTTATTTTACTGTTCGAGTTGCCACTGTTCCAGGTTTTCTTGCCACTGCTGTTGTCTTTCATATTGTTTCTTTTCTTTCTCCTCCAGCCACTGCTGTAGTCTCTCTTCTTGTTTCTTTTCTTTCTCCTCCAACCACTGCTGTAGTCTCTTTTCTTGTTAATTTTATCATTCTTCTTGTTTCTTTTGCTGTTCTTGTATTGCTGCCATCAAATCTGCTAAGTCATCGTTTGATTTGCCACTTCTGGTTTCCATCTTTTTTTTATCCCACTTCTGACACCAATTTGTTGCGTATCTGCTAGTTTGTTAATTTCCGGTATAAATTCTTTCCCAGAAACTTCAGCAATACAAGACCTTTCTTGATTAACCCAGTTTATTCTTACCTCGATACAAATTTTAGCTAATACACAGAATTT